TTCTGCTTCTTCTTCGTGTTCACCAGCTGTACACTCTGGCGGAAAGTTCTGGTTGCTAGTCCACTACTGAACTGCAGTCCTGCTCCATAACCTGAGTGTTGCGTATGCATCAGTTTTACAGATCTCATTCTCTTGTATACAGACTGTTGGTTCCTTGACTCTCCAGCAGATGCACTCCGACTTCAAAGGACGCTCCCTAATTAGTCGACTCTTACGACATGTTTTTGGGGAGGCAGTGGGTCTATTCTTGTTTTTCCCACAATGGGACCCCGGAACCCACACGGGGGAGCCAGACATGTAAAACGGATGTGCAGAGTTTACAGCCGGTGAACTCGAAGAAGATGAATGGAGAAGTTTCTGTACTTATTAGTTAAATATAAAATTTACACGCACAACAGAACGGAGCAGACTAAAAAGTCCACTATATAAAATGGTGGACATCTCACGCAGTAAATCCATGAATGGGGCTTAGAAAAAAGAATTCTTACCTTTTGGTTTTAAATGTGCTGAGAATCCTGAAAAAAACAAGCCCAACAGTTTCTTGATGTCTCAGAGATATGGATTTGCAGAAGGAAGCCTAAAATTGCATGCCAGTTTTTTATCTGCTAGTTACTGCCTTTTTTATACCACTTTTGCGGTGTAGGCAGGGGGGTCTTTGTGCCTGAGAATTTACGGCCGCATGGTTAGTGCTGTCGCCAAGACTGTGCAGGTGCGGATTTTTTTTTTTTTTTTTCCCCTAAAAGAAAAAATCTACAGCCTTACCGTAGGTTCGAACATGTGTCTTCCGCTTGAGATTCCAGCTTTCTAACCGTTCGGCGAGCCGCTCCTCTAAAATCCTATGGACAGTCAAAAAGAGCAACGCGGACGTGTTGAAAAAGGGATCGACTGAATACAAACATCAGGAGATAGGCATCATGTTTTGGTAAGTGTTGTCAGAAGAAGACAACTAGAAAACGAGGACAGAATTGTGGAAAGAGTGATAGACAACGCGAGAAGATACTTGACAGCCTTGTGTCATGGCTAGGAGGGTGTTAGTACATGGGCCGATACATGCTGCCGGAGATCACAGAATGTGGAGCCGCCTGATCGTTCATGCTAGTCGGCGAGACACTCAAAGATGATGGTTACACACATAAAGATCATGGCCTATGTGCAGTCACAACAAAAACAATAGAAACAACATCATTTCGAGAACAAGGTCAGCGTCAGATTGTTGCATTAATCCTTAAAAAGGACACATCTTTGCATTCATTAACTCTTTGAGTCCCAGGAGGTTTAGCATCACAGGACCAGGGGGTAGTCAAGAGAGACATAAAATCGGTGCATCTTGCATTCATTAGGCTTCTAGGTAGGAATCTATGAACGTATGATGCGTTCCTTGGGACTCAAAGAGTTAAGTTCTAGTTGTTTGTCATCTTCAAGTTGTAGATCTTGAATTGTGCATGTACATCCATTGTTACCGATCTAGCTTATGTGTGTGCAGATTATTGATTCACCAAGCAGACAATGACGTGCCCGAGAGGCGAAGAACAAACAGTCTGTACACTCATAAGCTAGATCGGTTAAAATGGATGTACATACCACTTCTTCTTCTTCTTCTTTTTCTCCTTTTTTGCATTTCGCTGGCTGGAACTCCAGCGTAGTTTTGGCTGTTCATCCATCTGTGGACTGTAGTCTTGTTCCGAACCTAAGTGTTGTGTGTACATCCGTTTTACAGATCAGAGTTATTTGTGTGCAGATTGTTAGTTCTTTACTTCTCAAACAGATGAAGTGGCAGCGTCTCATCTAGAGAGACTACAGTGAATTTCATTTTGTTAAAGAAGGTAAGAAGGGCTCCCCCCCCCTCCCCACTCACCCGCTCCCTCCAAAATAAACAGCTCTAATAAGCACCTCTTATATAAATAATTTTTTTTATCTAATTGCGTTCCGTAGTCTGGCTAGACAAAGTCATAATTTCAGTAATAGTACCCGGTTAGAAGTTAGTTAGTTGCGTATTCTTTACAGGACACTGCAGAACTAACCTTAGCCTTTTTTGTCTGTTGTGGTTTCTCGAAGCAGATTTACGTCCAGTAGTTTGCCATTGCTTTCTGAAAGGTTAGCTTCTCGATATCACTGCTGAAACCAACGCAAAGCGCAAGGCTTGCAGCTGGGATCGAACCTGGCACCCCGGCAATACGAAGCGCGTTCGTAACGCCTAAGCCACAGACGTCGTAATAGTACCCAGTATACGTTTCTTAATACTACAAAATATGCATAATAGTCTCAGAGTTCACACTACGCAAATTACACCTAGTATATTTTTCTAATGTTCATAATCTACTTGCAAACGCATCAAACAGGCATCATAATCATACAATTCAAGGTTTTATAAAGCAGCCCTGAAATTAGGAAATGGCTAATGTAAATTATAAAAATGTTCTGACTCCCCTACCATGAGTTGAGTTGAGTCAAGTAGGGACATCACAACACTTGGGGTATTTCCATAAGTGCTCCGTCCCCATCCTCAGCAGCCAGCGCAGAGTTCCAATACTAATGGTGTCAGTCGTAGTCTGGTTGAATGTCCGTCTTGCCTTTCCTCTGAGGGGTGTGTGCTGGCCGAACAAATGAGCTATGGGGGCCACATACCCTAGGTACGCCCCCGCAGGAATATGCACTCCTACCTAGAAGCAAATAAATGAGCAATAAATATACATTTCTGTAACCTATGATGCCATTTCAATGGTTTGAAATTAATTCTGTCCGTATTCCATAGCTGTGGATTTCAGGCTGTACGATAGACATGGCCAATAAGACACATTTTTTAGGGGGTGCCTAGTTGACCATGTTCTTAGTGCACTTGTATCCATGGCGAGGCGCACACGCCGTCTGGAGGTGACAGGTTCAATTCCCGGCACGGTGACTAAGCTTTCGATTTTTATGTTGTCTAGTGTGTTCTTCTATCTTTCTGTTTCTTTCTATGAGGGCAGATCAATACACTTTCTGTTACTTGATTCATTCATATGATTTAACGGCCTTAAATGTTCCCCCTCTGTTTATTTATAGGAATGACGGATATGCACCGGAACCAACCAATCAAATACCTTTCTTAAATGTTTGTGTATTCTAGACAAAGCATTAGGGTCTATTGTGTTCATAAATTGTTGCTGTGATTGTTATTCGACATATGCTTTGATAATATAAATTTCTATAACCTTTAGTGCCATTTGAATGGTTTAAAATGAATTATGTCCGTATTCCATAGTTGTGGATTTCAAGCTGTACGATAGACATGGCCAATAAGACACCTTTTTTGGGGGGTGCCTAGTTGACCATGTTCTTAGTGCACTTGTATCCATGGCGAGGCGCACACGTCGACTGAAGGTGACAGGTTCAATTCCCGGTACGGTGACTATAGCTTTCGATTTTTATGTTGTCTAGTGTGTTCTTCTATCTTTCTACTTCTTTCAATGAGGGCCGATCAATACACTTTCTGTTACTTGATTAATTCATATGATTTAACGGCCTTAAATGTTCCCCCTCTGTTTATTTATAGGAATGACGGATATGCACCGGAACCTACCAATCAAATACCTTTCTTAAATGTTTGTGTATTCTAGACAAAGCATTAGGGTCTATTGTGTTCATAAATTGTTGCTGTGATTGTTATTCGACATATGCTTCGATAATATAAATTTCTGTAACCTTTAGTGCCATTTCAATGGTTTGAAATGAATTCTGTCCGTATTCCATAGTTGTGGATTTCAAGCTGTACGATAGACATGGCCAATAAGACACCTTTTTTGTGGGGGGGGGGGGGGGAGATATGCCTAGTTGACCATGTTCTTAGTGCACTTGTACCCATAGCGAGGCGCACACGCCGTCTGGAGGTGGCAGGCTCAATGCCCGGCACGGTAACTATAGCTTTCGATTTTTATGCTGTCGAGAGTGTTCTTCTATCTTTCTACTTCTTTCTATCAAGGCCAATCAATACACCTTCTGTTACTTGATTAATTCATAATACCTAGAAGCAAACACCCCTGATTATTCGTGTTGAACGAAATGCTTAATAAGGGGTAGTGAGTTTACCCTCCCCCCCCCCTCCCTCTTTTTTCCCCCACAACGAGGCCCGGAACCCCCACGGTGACAAAAAAGGCAAGGGGAAAACAGAAAATTAATACAAAGTGGATGTTTATGTGGGGTATTTGGTAACCTCCCTGTTGTGTTTCTCATTGCTTGACACATGTCACTGAATCTAATTACAACAATTAAAACTAGGAGAGTCGACACAAAGAACAAATTGAGCTCACCAGAAAAAGAGGAACGGGCTGGTGGGGAGCAGTTTGCTTAAGCATTTTCATGGGCAGGGGCGATCAAGGGATTGAAGCCTTGTTTAAATAATTATTAATAATAAAATAGCTGCGTTTGCGACTTAGACGTTGCGAGGGCGCTTCGTAATTAGGAGGAATCTGGTTTGATTCCACTTGCGTCGATTTGGTAGAAGACAATCTTGCGGTTATTTTGACAATGCTATCGAGAGCCGTCGTTCAGAAAGCAGTGGCTAACTATTGAACGTAAAATTGTCTAGTTAAACTAAAACAGGTAATACAATACGTGGATTGGTTCTGCGACGTCCTTCAAAGGAAATGAACCTTTTTTTTCCCCCAAAAAAATATATATAGTAAAAAAATAATAACAATGCGCTAAATCGCGAATAAATATCTTAATATAGCTGAAACGATTTGATATACATAAACAAGCACTTAAAAAAGATAAATTTCTAGAGTTGAGCCTCCTAACGCATTTTTGTGGGATTGCTAAGCGCACTTTATCCCCCCCCCCCCCACCATCCCCTACCCTTTTCCCTCCCAAATATTGGGGAAGGGCGTAGTTATAGTTGCTTTGACCACTGCAGTCGACAAAGCTGTTAAGATATTAGTGTCTTTGCACCAGTTAATTGAATTGTATTTTATTACAGCGACACTGCCAGAAAATGCGACATTACAATCTGGCATATGGAGGTCATGGAGCATCTGCTCACGCAGGAAACGGAAATGACGCAACGTCAAAAGTCCACCTTGGAGAAAGTTGAACAAATGATACAGCGCATCGTCAAAAATGGCGGATCGCCGTTAGTTAACTGCGGTCTGCTCAATACATACAGTTATAATCTGCTACCGGAGTTTAGCTCACAACTTATGGATTCCACAATTAGAGAAACAGAGGAAACGAACGATAGGCCTGTTCAGTTGCTCAAAGAGCAGTCTTCAAACGACTTGAAAGTTGCCAGTGGCGGAGATGATGATGATGATAATTTAGGGCAAGTGCACAGTATTTCTGACAAGAGCACAGAGAAGGATAATACAAATAAAAATGATGACGCTGAAAAGAAACGAAACACAGATAAAATATTAGATAAACAGTTAGAGACAGAAGATATTGATGACAATATTAGCAATGTTGGACAAGATGTGAAAGAAATAAGAAATAGTGATGACTTTCATGAAAAGCATGACATCACTGAATACGATGCAGATAAAACAGATGATAAAGGCGATATGACCAGCGAGGATGCGGTTAAGGAATCAAATGAAGAAACAGCTCATGGAGATTCTAGGGACAATGATAACAGAGAGCATCATGAGCAGGATACGACAACCACACATAGAAACTCCAATGGTGAATTATCAGACGGTGTTAGTCAAGACAACAATGCAAATGATCGTGCAGTGCTTAATGATCCAGACAATGGTATAGGTGGAGAGAGATACGATAAAAGCAACGATAATAGTAATAAAAAGAATAAAGGTACTAACTCCAGAAGTTCCGATGACGTAAATAAAGAGAACGATGATAGAAACAGTAATCCAAACAATGATAACAGCGATGTTATGAATACTGAAAAAGACGAGAATCTAAGCAATAACAAAGTCGCAGATACAAAGGATGAATCTGAAGACAACGGCGATGTTAAACCCAACGATGAAGGTAGTAGTTCACATAATACGGAGAGTCATGTAAATAATAATAAAGAAAGTAGTGAAGATACTGGGAAACCTGAAGTGGATGAAGACTACAAAGAGGACAGAGGAAACCTCAAAGACGACACAAGAAATATTAAAAATGACAATGGGTTACGCACGAATCACAAAGATGACAGAAGCACTAAAAAGTATGGTGATACGAGTAACTATGGTGATGATAGTGAAAAAAATGATAGAAGTGATATAGATGTAAATATGGAAAGAAACGGGGTTATAACGAATGCGAGAAAAGATATTCAAGACCAAAATGTTATAAATGATAACGCGATCAAGAAAAGTGATTATTCTAATACCAGACTCGACTATGGCAGAAATATGGATACACACAACATGTGGGAACTGGAAACTGACGAGACTGATGACAGCGAAGATGAAGACTGCTATTATAGCAGTGCTAAAGAATTTGTCTGCACTAGAAAATCTCGTCACAGCAGTAGTGGCAACGAAATCAATAAAAATATCGAGGAAAATGTGAAAAGAGTTGTTGAAGATAGTGACGAAAATTTTGACGAATTTGTAGATGAAATGAAGAAATTAAAAAGTATGGTGACACTCATAGAGCTAATGGTGAATATGTGGATCATGGTGATCAGCTAGTAGATCATGATGATGATGATGGTGATGGTCGTGCTCGGGAAGATAATGATGAAACTCCAGATAAAAGTACTAGTGAAAAAACTATACCATCAGCTGAAAAATAATCCTAAACAGGACGATGAAGGCACGGATGGCGATCAAAATATAAGTAGATTTAATGAAGATATTAATGTAGTTAAGAAAGAAGATTTAAGCAACGATGAGCTGAAAGATAACGCAATCGGTAGTGATGATGTTAACGGGGAAAATGCCGACGACATGAAATTAAAAAGGAGCCATTTGCATGACAACAGAAAATCTGGTGGAGACAAGACGGATGTCGAGCAGAAAGATGTAGATAATGTGGCAGATAACTATCACGAAATGAAATCTATGTCGAGCAGTGATGAGAAGGATGTCACAGAAAATGATAACATCAATGAAGGCGATAACTTCGACAGAAGAGTCCCAACCGTTGGAGGCAGAAACACAAGTGGCTATTTAGATCAAGACAGCAAAGAATTCTCAACCGAGTCTGTAACCCCAAAACAAGTTAGTAGTGAAGATGCGGACAAATCAAGCCACATCGATAAAAGTATTACTAAACGAAATGATAACGCTGATGGAGTTGTTATATTTTATGATGTTGATAATGATGATGACAGGGAAGAAGAAGAAGAAATAAAAATATATGACTCACAATCTCACGAAACATTCTCCAAAGGTAAAAATGACATAGAATCAAAAAGGGAACAAAGCACTGACAATGAAGAATTTATTAGCTCAGACAGTTACAACGAGCTTTCTGGAAAACTCAAGAAATTCAAGAATAATGCAAATGGTATGAATTCCGAAAATACAGCGTCACATGAAAGGAAAATAGCTGAAGACAAGAAGACAGCAGTTCTCAACGATAGAGATGGTCACTCTACACTAGGTATGAAACAGTGGGAACTCATTTTTGCTCAACGTGAGTCCGAACAGGCCGCCAAAATTCAGAATTTAGAGTTAATGCTGGTTAAACTTGAAAACAGAGTTCTGACTCAAAGTGCGATTAAACAGACTGACAGCAACGTTTTACTGAGTTTAGAAAATCATATTTTAAAGATGGAAAATGAACTCATGAAACTCAGCCAGAACTACCAGCAACTTCTAAAGGATCATGATGCCTTGAAATCACAGCAAAGAAAGTCCTACCTTGAACTTGAGCACATAAAAACGTCACCCCGGAAGCCTGAATATCCCGCTTTAGATGACAACATCACAATCGAAATGATGAAACAACAGAAAACAAGAATTGTGGAGTTATCGATGTTGATTCACAATCAGTCGGTTACGGCGGAAATGCTACAAAGCAGATCTTTGTATTTGGAGGAGGAAAACCGGAGGTTGTTTCAAGTAGTGCTGAACCAGACAGCTGTTATCTCCAGCATCATGAGGCAGCTTGATGAACTAGGAAAGGAGGGCTTGAAGACTAGAAAACAAGCTGAAGATTTTAAAGCTCAACTTGAACATCTAAAGCAAGCAGACAGTTTGCAGAGAAGCATGCAGAAAGTTCAAAGTTCATTAAAGCAATCAGAAAGTTTGCAGCAAGGCACCTACCCAGATCAAACATCCCAAGGGAGTTCAGAAACTTTAGAGAAAGACATAAAGGCAGATCAAACTTCACTAAAGCATCTTGAAAGTCTACAGCAAGCGATGCAGGCAGATCAGACATTACTAAAACAGTCAGAAAATCTAAAAGACAGGAGAAAAGATGAAGTTTCACGAAACGAAGCTACTTTTGAATACGATTTCGGAAGGGACTCTTCTGTGAAAACCACTCCACCTGCACAAGCAAAAGATCTCATTTCCATTGTTCTCTATAACTTCAGGAAATCTCCAACAGCCGACTCGCCATCTGCAATATTTGACATAAAATGGCGATGTGCTGGACAAACTAGTACAAGACTATGCTTTTTCCATTCGTTCATTATTTCCAACTGCACACCTTTTAGTGACCTACAGTGGGGAACGTGCAAGCAAGCCCCGGGTAGTTTACTTCTGGAGTCAGGTCATGAGACAGACCTAAAACATAAAGAAAGTGTCAAAGTTCATTTGCCGTCAGAACACCAAATTCCTGTAGGAAAGAATCCTGAAACTCGAAGTTTTGAAAAGCCTGAAACTCGAGATCAGATGGGAGGAAGTCCTAACGATGATTATGGAATGCAAAACAACGAGGGGCACAATGGAGTGATGCCGTCGGTAGCCACTACGAAGGATGACAATAATCAAGGGAGACAATCAACAGCGCTGAACTTAGACGATGATAACTCCAATACCAGCTCTGAATCTGAGAAACTCTCAACTGCTAACAGCGACACCTAGTGGCGAACTGCCTAGGGAAGTCACAAAAAGAGATAAAATGGGAGCCAGTATGGGAGACATTTCAAATCTCATTAACAGTGACAGAGTTATTGATAATACAGTTGAGAAAGATGAAGACAAGAGACGAGACATACAAATAACTGTAAATAATCCGCACGAAGACGATATCATAAACAATAACAATAAATTTAAAAGCGGAGACACTAACGCTTTTGAGAAGGCATCGAGAAATAATCATAATGTCGAATCAAATATCCAAATGGACATTAATAATAACAGCGCACAGGATTCACCACGTCAAACGGAGCATCCACCCACAGGTGCGGAAGCTCCAACAACATCCCCTTGTGGACACAATGATCAATCTCCAGAATGCAGCAGTAATTCGGGTCAGGCGAGAAAGTCGGCTTCTGACATAAGAACAGTGCAGCCAGAATTAAACGAACAAGGGCAAATACAAGACTTGAATGTCGCCAAAAAAGAAGATGACGAAAACTCCATTCACGTCACAATAGAAAATGATGTACAGGCTGCTCAGATGAAATTATTTGACGACAGAATGCGTAAGATGGCAGCCGATGAAGCAAAGAAAACGCACGAGGCTCTATACAGGAAAATACTGTATTTACCAATATATGACGACAGACCTAAAGGTATGTGCAGGCTTTAACTAAGTAAAATGTTTATCTTTTATTTGTACTGTTTTTCACACTAATGATTTATAATAGGACCATAGCGCATTGAGCGCAGCTATAGCAAATGTAGATGCTGGTTATTGAGGTGGCATAGCGGTTGCGCACGCATACTCTTCCTCTCATATGCCCTTTCTTGTGGGATCAACATTTAACTCCAAATTCACGCAATCTCACTGATGGTTGTTCCCATCCCACCCAGCTCACAAATCAGCGATCGGGTTGCCCATTGGGTCTGTCTCCTTTGATCGCATCAACACTGTAGGAGTCCTTTGCATTGCTTCTTGGTGGCCAGCAATGCTATGCCATTTTGTATGGCGCACATAACCTAGTGACGATGTGCTTTTCTTCCGCAAAGCAAGCCAAGCCAACTCACTCTAGACTGGTATATATTCCATTAGTCTTTTGTTGACGTTTGTTTGACCCGTTATGAGTGCTCACAATCGCTTATGTAGCCAAACAATCAGCTCTTTCTTTCCCTAGCATTCCTACATCCAAGTCACGACATAGATATATTCCGCATAAGTATCTTATAAAGCGGAACTGCTGACACTTGCTAGGCATTCATGCCACACATGACCTTTATAAACTGAAAATCACACACTGTGATTCTTCTGGGAAATCTTCCCCAGTGATTCTCCAGAGCGGCAACGATCGCATCCACTTTTGTCCTTGAGTGTAAGATACCCTTTAGATATTCGAGTCTGACAAAAAAAGTGTAAAGGTTTAAAGTCAAAAGAATAGACTACATTATTTAGAGTTGTATCCCATATGATACGGCCTTATTCAGCAGAACGGCTAGCAGCCTGCCAAGACCATCACACTGTAAGGTCCGAGGGGGACAAAACTGCACTTGTGAACCCAACAACGCAATCCATGACACGAACTCATGACTTTTAGAGACGGCGTCTGTGGTTTAGGCATGGCTAGTCCAACTCGTAATTCCAACGTATCGCGATCGAAACCCACTGCTGGCTGCATGGATTCTTATGAGGGAATGGGAAGTCGCAGGTCGACCCAGCCTAAAATAGGTACCATAATGTATGTCCCGGGTTAGTAGTGCCGATTGGTCTGTAAAAATATGGGGCGCTCTTCTTATATGCCCGATGTGCCTAAAGGCACAGTAAAGGGATTACTTTTATTTACTTTACCTAGTCACGGAGATACCCTCTTCGTAACCCCAAGATGTGCTTGCCTGACAATTAACCCCCCCCCCCTCCCCCCCCCCCACTTCTTATTGTCGAACTCCAAGTAGCGTTAGTAGTTACGGTTATCTACAACCTTCTATTTCGTGTAGTTTCAGTCAACTGTGATACAGAGGATCTTCCTTGTCATGGTGTCAAACTGTTCAGTATTTTATCTCTCGGTCTGCATTTTTTCCTCTCCAACTTTCCCACCGTCATAATGTACTCAAGTTTTCTCCTTTTCATGACACGACCAAAGAATATAGACTGTCTCCTCCCGATGTGGGGCGTCAGTTTCCTTCGCCATTCAGATTCTTTCAAGGCATCTTCAAGATCTATGTTGGCATCGTGCGTTTCAAAACTCATACCGTCACGCTTTAACAAATATCTCAAAAACTCTTATACGGATCACAAGAATTTTTGCGTGGGCCTTAGATTTCCCATGTCCCTCTGATTCTATTACAATTGCACAGATGCTGTTATTTTCTTTGAGCGGCGAATTTCTTTGATCTTTGTTTGAATAATAATTTCTGTATCCCCGAAAAATAGAACATACAGTAACAGACGTACATGTGTGGTGCATGTTTTGATAGCCTATTCCCCATTTAATTAAAAATCCGCAGCTCACGGGAGGCTTATGCTGGAGATCACTACCTGAGAATTAAACGTCTATGACACGCGTGTTGTCAGATGTTTTGAAAAGTTCCCCCTTACTCAATTTACTAAAGTTACTGTAAGGATGCTGATTGTTTGCTTTGAATCTGTGACTTTTTCTTTTTTCATGTTCCACAAAAAAGGCCAAATGAAAACTAAATGTTTATCTGCATTTAAAAAAAAAAATGCTTATAAGGACATGATTATTAACAGGTTTCATGCTAAACTTCAACAACTTAACCGAACTGTTCCTGAGTTACACATTTTTAAAGTTCGGAAGAACTTCTCAAACGCACTGTAATATATTTCTCCGCGGGTTGGTGGGGTATTTCATTGTCAAACAGTCCACGGTCCCATGTAATAAAAAAAATTGGGGTGTGGTTCCGGTGTGTGTGTGTGTGTGTGTGTGTGTTTGTGTGTGTGTGTGTGTGTGTGTGTGTGTGTGTTTGTTGAGGGGTGGGTGTTATGTCTTCGTTTCCCAATGCACAAATCTTCTTCTTCTTGTTCTTCTTTGATTTCATAGGCTGTAATCTTCCATCGTAGGTATTGGCTATTCAACAGCTTCTAGACATTGCTCTTGTTCAAGACCTTGAGTTATGCGTGCACATCCGTTTTACGGAACTAGCTTATTTGTGTGCAGATTGTTGTTCTTGACCTGTCAGGCAGATGCACTCGACTTCAAAAGGAACACTTTTAATTAGTTCCCTTTTACGACATGCTTGTTAAGGGGGCAGTGGGTCTATCCTCTTTCCTCCAACAAATATAAAGCGACAGCAGTGTAAAGGGGTGGAGAGAGCAGGATGGAGAGCCAGGCAGAGATGAGCAGAAAGACAGCGTGGGTGAGATACAAATGGAAAAAAACGGATTCCCTAATAATCCTCTAGAGAAGAAAAGAGATTCCCTAATAATCCTCTAGAGAAGAAAAGAGATTCCCTAATAATCATCTTACAAGCCTTTATTAGGTTCGCTTTGTTTCGTTTGTTTGCTTGTTGTTTTGTCTCGTACCATTTCTGTCTTTTAGACTGCTATGAACTGCACAAACAAGGACGAGAACAGGATGGTTTGGGCCAGATTTTCGTCAGTGGGATGAACGTTTACGTGACAGTATACTGTGACATGTCTAACGGCGGCTGGACGCTTCTTTTGAAGAGGGAAGATGGTCTCGTCGACTTCTACAGAGATTACGAGCAGTACAAAGATGGCTTCGGAGGTAACTATATTAATTTGCGACGACACTGCAAGCTGCCAAAGTAAAAAAATAAGCAAAGGACCTTTTCCACGCCTTTAGGCGTATAGGGCATATAGGGCTAGACCTATATTTTTATAGACCAGTCGGCACAAGATTGGTGATGTGGTCAGCATCACGCCGGCCGCTTCTACTTTCCCGGAACTACACCCGGTACCCACTCAAGGCTGGGTCGACCTGGGAGCCAAGGTCATTTTTGAAAAAAGACGGGCTCTGCCAGGGAGCAAACCCACGACCTTCCGATCGGCGGCGAGCGTCTAGCCGCTCGGCCACGGTGACTCCCAGCTGCCAAAGTGGCTTAGGAAAAGTTTGCTAGGGAGTGGGGTGCGGGCCGCCCGGGGGTCATCACTGAAGGGGGGTGACAAAATGGGTGCTTTTTTTTTGGAAATTAAAATATCAGTGTTGGTAGTGTTGGGGTGGGGGTGGAGAGGTGTGGTCACGGACAATTTTCCTCACTAGGTACCAGCTGATCTTGCTATGTGCCACAACACTGACAGGGTCTGGGTGGAACCTGGTGTAGGTCTGCCTACCTCTTGCATCCCCAGGTATAAGATGCTGACGATGGCAATACACTAAGCCCATCATTAGAAGAAGCGAACATAGAAACACCAAAAAGGCACTCACGTGGGAAAAAAATCGGCTGAGAACACGAGGAAGTTCAAGAGAAATCCTGAAACGAACGTTGTTGAGGGAAGCTGAGGGAAGGTGGTGGATTCCATTTCTCTATGATATAAAATGGATTGCACGGGATTGGAGGGAATGGAGGACTGAATTGGGAACCTTTTTGTGCGTTTTATAGCACATCCTGATTGAGATGATTAGGATGATGACGACATTGACGCCGATGATGATGATGATGATGATGATGATGATGATGATGATGATGATGATAATGATGATGATGATGATGATGATGATGATGATCATTATGATGAAGCCCTAGCCTGGCTAAGCAAGACGAAGCTTTGAAGCCACCACTGTTAACAAAATGAAACTGAAGATAGTATACAATTTTAACATATACAGTGGCTGCGCTTTTCATTTTTATTTAATAGCAAAAATTTAGAGTAGAAATATTTTTCCTTAAAATTAATGTATTTTTTCATCATAATCATCGTCAGTTCTCGTTATGCCTAGTGGAACATGAGGCTTCAGATAGGACTTTCCATGCTTTCCTGTCCTGTGCAATCTTCAGAGCAGTTTTCCATGTCAAAGATGCCGCACTCAGGTCACTTTCCATCGTTCGTCTCCATGTTGTTTTTGTTTTTGCTGTTTTCTCTTTCCCTCTGGTGTCCACGTGAGAGCTGTTTTGGCGGGTACATCATAATTCATTCTCATAACGTGGCCAAGCCATTTTCATCTTCTCTTGGTAATCATACTGTCTAAAGTTTCTTGGTTTGTGGCTTGAAATATTTTAGTGTTTGAGATTGTATCTGGTCAGAAAACTTTGATAATTTTACGTAGACATGTGTGGTGGACGGTGGACAGCTTGTGTGCATCTTTTTTTTTTTTGGCCATTCTTCTGCTTTTGTAGAGTCGGAGTTTTGTTCCTCTGCAGTAACTGTTGGATTTCCAGATTTGCCTCATCTTTCTAAAAGCAGCTCTAGCTTTGTTCAGACGTGACAGTATGTCTTCTTCGGTCCCTCTCGGTAGGGACACCACACTGTCAAGATATGTGAAATGTTCTACATTTTCAAGAGTTTGGATGTAAGTGTCAACGTTTGGCACTGATAGCATAGTGTGTCTTTCATTCTCATTTGTAACCTAAAACTTTTTTTTAATTTTCCCCTTAAATTTATCACTTTTTCTTCTTTTTGCCTCATCCCCTATTTTATTGTCCCTACCCCGGGCCTCCCAAACTGTGGGTTATTTTCCCTCTTTTTTAAACATCCCCTTTTTATTTTTCTCCGCCCACTTGCGGGGCCTGCCAATTCAACTTCAAATGAACCCAAAAATAACAAAC